TGCAAGTCACCATGTAACACTGTTTGGGGAGAGTTTCCTATTTTCTGGGTTTTGTTTTTTTGAGATGGAGTTTCACTCTTGTCCCCGGCTGGAGCGCACTGGCATGATCTCCGCTCACATAACCTCTGCCTCCCGAGTTCAAGCGATTCTCCTGCTTCCACCTCCTGAGTAGGTGGGATTACAGGCATGCTCCTCCACACCCGGCTAATTTTGTATTTTTAGTAGAGATGCGGTTTTGCCATGTTGGCCAGGCTGGTCTCGAACTCCTGACCTCAAGTGATCTGCCCACCTCAGTTTCCCAAAGTGCTGGGATTACAGGTGTGAGCCATCCCCCCCAGCCTCTTATTTTCCATTTTAAGGAGGTCAGAGTGACCTAGAGATGTTACTTTCTGTGTATTCATCACTACTGGGAAGTGGTAAATACCTCGAATCCCTTTCCAGGCAGAGCAGGAAAAGTGAGTCACAGCTGCTGCTCTGGGTCTGGCCATCTCAAGGCCAGGCCACTGTCAGAACCCTGTGTTTGGCACTCATTCAGATGCCACAGGGCATGCCAGGGTAAGTGGCCAAAATCCAAAGTCTCGCAAGTCCTGCAGGTTTTCATCTTTACAGGACATACTCCCTGTTTTATTTGCTGTGGCGCAAATCCAGTTACTTTAGTGATTCATTTGGAATCTCATGCATTTTTAAACAAGCAGAGACTGGGAGCCCGTGCTGGGCACTGTTTCTGGCATTAGCAGCAAACCCCCAGAGTTGCTCAGGGTGGGAGACTGCGAGAAGCCTAGTCTGTGTGCGTGTGTTTCAGGGTGGTGGGGGTGGGTAGAGGAATCCCTATTCGCAATGGAGAACTCAGCATTCCCTTTCACCAGCGTCACTGCCTTTTTCTTCCACATACCACTGTCCTAGCATGCTGACTTGTGACTATGGCATAGAAAGACCAGAGGTTTCCAATTATTTCAAAGATCTTGAAAAATTTCCAAAGAAAATGTGCTTTAATTGAATTGCAGGGGTAGAGGTAGGGGTAGGAAATTGATGGGGGAGTGAGGCAGATAGATACAGGTGAGCAATCCAACAACAACAAAAAGCATCTGGCCGGCTGCGGGGGCTCACGCCTGTAATCCCAGCACTTTGGGAGGCCGAGGCGGGTGGATCACCTGAGGTCAGGAGTTCGAGACCAGCCTGGCCAACATGGTGAAACTCCGTCTCTACTAAAAATTAGCCGGGCATGGTGGCAGATGTCTGTAATCCCAGCTACTCGGCAGGCTGAGGCAGAAGAATCGCTTGAACCCGGGAGGCGGAGGTTGCAGTGAGCCGAGATCACGCCACTGCACTCCAGCCTGGGCGACAGAGCGAGTCTCCATCTCCGCCCCCACCCTCCCCCAAAAAAGAATCGTCCAAAGTTTGCAGTCATCAGTCACGTCAAGTGCATGACACCCGCCTCTAGGCCCAGATCTTCCACTTCTCCCAGCCTTGGGGCCAGCGGGTAATTTAAAAAGGAGGTCGCTGGTGAGGACGCGGACTTTCCCAGCCCCCGCCTTGACGGCCTGGCCCGGGGAAGCCGGGACAGTGGGCCAGGCTCTCGGGCCCAGAGGGGGACATCCCGGGGGCTGCGGGCCGCAGTACCTGGTTCCTGCCGGTCACAGGGCGTCGCAGGCACAGTCATGGCGTCACCAACGCTCGACCCAGACTTCCGCCCTGGAGCGAGCAGAGCGCTGGAGGAGGGCGCGGCAGGAGGCCGCCATGACGCGGGTTCCGGGCCGCTGGGTCAGTGCCTCTCCCGGTGGGCCTGCGGGCTCCAGGTGGGTCCTGTCGCTGCCCAGGACCCCTCTGCCTCAGTCCGGGTCCCTCCCAGCCTCAGCCTCGGCTCCCCTGAGCCTCAGCCCGGATCCCCCTCAGCCTCAGCCTGGGTTCCCTGAGCCTCAGCCCGGATCCCCCTCAGCCTCAGCCCGGATCCAACCTCAGCCTCAGTCTGGGTTCCCTGAGCCTCAGCCCGGATCCCCCTCAGCCTCAGCCTCGGTTCCCCTGAGCCTCAGCCCGGATCCCCCTCAGCCTCAGTCTGGGTTCCGTGGGCCTCAGTCCGAGTCCCCCTCACCCCCGATCCTCCTCTGCCGCAGCCCGAGTCTCCCTCAGCCTCAGCCATAGCCAGGGTCCCCTTCATCCTTTGCCAGAGTCCCCCTCAGCCTCTCCCTGGTCCTCCTTCTGGCCAGGGACCCCCAACCTTTCTGGCGAGGGTGGGGGGACCGGCCTCCAGGCCCCGCCTCCGGCTGCCATTAGGCGGAGGCCTGCAGGCTCCGAGAGCAAGGCGGGGTGGGAGACTTGAGAAGCTCAGCTGCGTCGCTCACAAATGGTGGTGGGGGGGCAGGGGGGGTGGTCCTCGCAGATCTGAGGCAAGGAGATCCCTTGAGTCTAGGAATTCGATCATGCCACTGCACTCCAGCCTAGGTGACAGAGCAAGACCCTGTCCCTAGAAATAAATAAAAATTAAATTAAAAACGAAAGTTCCCTCTGGCTGCCCAGAGGTGAACTGATGAGGGTACAAGAGACCGCTGATTTGGAGTGGGGAGAAGGAGCAGTGAAAGATGTTTGTCATAGCCCAGGTGAAAGAACAATGTGACTTGGACCAGCACGGGACTGTGGAAGACAGAAGTAGATACACTTGAGGTATGTTTAGGATGAAAAATTGACAATCACTTGGTGATCGGATCGGGGAGAGGAAATAGGAGTGTTTCTGTTACTGTTATAATCAAACGGAAATAGACCAGGTGCGGTAGCTCACACCTGTAAACCCGGCACTTTGGGAGGCCAGGGCAGGTGGATCACTTGAGATCAGGCGTTCAAGACCAGGCTGGCCAACATAATGAAACCTCATTTCTACTAAAAATACAAAAAAAAAAAAAAAAAATTAGCCGGGCATGGTGGTGCGTGCCTGTAATTCCAGCTACTTGGGAGGCTGAGGCAGGAGAATCACTTGAATCTAGGAGGCAGAGGTTGCAGTGAGCTGAGATCGCACCACTATACTCCAGCCTGGGTGACAGAGCGAGACTCTCTCTCCAAAAACAAAAAAAAAGTAAAACAGAAATGAAAGTTACCCTTCTGAATCAGAATGAAAAGCAAATGTTTTATATAAGAAAAATTTAACCAGGGCAAAATCCTGGGTTAGCACCACACCACAAAGCATGCTGGTACATCTCCAGGCCATTCTGTGACCAGACAATGATACCAGGACTTCGGTCACTACTTGTCTCACCTCTGCTAGGAATATTCTAGAATTTTAAAGTTTTGCCATGGGCCTCTATTGTACAGACTGCCAATGGCTTCTCCCCATCCACAAATCCATTTCAGCGCCTCTTCTGTACTAATAGAATTGGGGGCAAGGCCTGTGGCTGCCCAAAATAAAGACATTTCCCCATTGCCCTTGAAGGCAGTACAGACATAAAGCTCCACCTAATGCAACATATGCAACATGCCATATGGCAGCTTCCAGAAACTTTGGTCTCTTTGCCTCTTTCTCCATCCTGCTTCCTGGAATGCAGATGCCACTAGCTTGGGGCTTGAGATTGAGGCCCCACAGGACAGAGCATCAAGCTAGGGGGAGCTGGGCCCCTTACCCTGTGGAGAACCATCCCAGCTCCCCACCACTAACCCGACTTAGTAGGAAAGAAAAACATTTCTCCATTTTGTTTTTCGTCACTTGCAGCTGAAACTGATTCTCACTGGTAAAACTATTAAACACATGCCTGAAAATCTGTTAGGGCAGAAAACAGGAAGATATTCTACCGAAGCCCCTGGTGGTGCAAATGGCAGAGTCTGTTCTGTCTCACTCAGGACATGCTTCTGTGCCATGAGTTAGTGAGTTCATTTGCAGATGATAAACAAGAGAATGCTGGCCGGGTGCGGTAGCTCACACTGGTAATCCCAGCATTTTGGGAGGTCAAGGCAGGCGGGTCACCTGAGGTCAGTCAGGGGTTTGAGACTAGACTGGCCAACATGACGAAACCCTGTCTCTTCTAAAAATACAAAACTTAGCTGAGCGTGATGGGAGGAGCCTGTAATCCCAACTACTTGGGAGGCTGAGGCGGGAGAATTGCTTGCACTCAGGTGGTAGAGGTTGCAGTGAGCTGAGATCCAGCCACTGCACTCCAGCCTGGGCAATAGCACAAGACTCCATCTCAAAAAATAAAAAAAAAATGAAAGAATGCTGTCAGTAGGATGCAGAAATTGTTTGTGTTCTTAGCAGCATGTTTATATAATAGTTTGAGGTGCTGGTGGTGGGGCCGGGCCGGAGCGGGGGCAGGGGGTGGTGGGGACAAGCATTCTCTCAACGAAAGAGCCAGGCTTAGCAACTGTAAACTAAAAATATCTGAGACAGGTCTCAATTAATTTAGAAGTTTATTTTGCCAAAGTGAAGGACATGCCCAGAAGAAAAAAGCAGAATCTCAGAAACAGTCTGTGGTCTGTACCTTTCTCCAAAGATGATTTTGAGGGCTTCAATATTTAAAGAGGAAAAGCTGGCTGGAGGGGAAAGAGGGAGAGTATGGCAGTCCACACCTTGCAAGAGAAAAGGTGCAAAAGGTGCAAGTAGCGGAATCATCAATTACACGTCTGTCTCTTGCTCAGTAAATCAGTACTTTACATAAGGTAAGGTGAACACTGAGTAGCTACTTGTGGCAATATTTAACCTTTTATCTGTGGCTGTCTGCTTAGGAACAAAAGCTGTCTTTACAGCTTCTTGCATGACTC